CTACAGACAAACATAATTAAAAAAGGTAAAATCACATTTAACAATAACAATGTAAAATGATTACTGTTATTATCCTTTTTACAAGGGATCAACACCTGTCTGTCAGCTTGTTAGGCTCTGGTGAATTACCTATTGCTGTGATACAGGAAGCCATGCCACTGGTATTTCAAATACCAGCAGGGTCACCCTTGGTGGACAGTTTTCAGCATGGTCTCTAGACTGGTAAGAGTGGGGAGCTTATTTACTTTTGAAAGTAGCCAATGAAAATCTTCATAGATCACAATAGAATGTTCTATGGCTCATTTATTTTAGATGTGTCATCAGGAAGGGTCCATCACTGGAGAAGGACAAAAATATTATGTTTGGTAAAGGAGAGAGCCAGTGAGGGTGAGAAAGAGCTTCAGTGAAATGGATCAGCCCCACAGCCACAACAGAGGACTTAAACATGTCAGTGAGTGTGAAGACGACGCAGGACCTGGTATGAGCTGGCTTGACGCTAGCTATCGATCCATCCGTCATTTTCAGGTGGAGCTAAACCGTTCATGCGATTTAACGGCCTACTGAACCTCAGATTTACGTCTCACTTTACTTTAATAACCTCAGTGTCATCTAAACTCGAGCCCTACAGCTCTCAAGATGGAATCCAAACTCCTTCACCTCCAGGCCTTTAAGGCCATCGACCTGCTGTCGAGCTCTCTGATCCTATGGTTTTTTCTCTGCCATTTGCTCCTGATTCACTTCAGGTGGGTTGTTTTTTGGTTGGTTTGTTTTTTTTTCAAACCCTCACTGCCCTAGTTCCTCTCACACATGACACTTTCCTTTAACTTCTAGGCTTCCGTCCATGTTGTCCTCTAAGTTTCAAAGCTGACAGCACCACTCCTAACAGTTAGGTGTACTTACCTCACGGTGGTACTTTCCACTGGGTGTTGCTAAGTGCAGGTTTACTCTTTGAGTCTTCACTAGCCTGTAAGCTTCCCGGGAAGAGGGATGTACCCCTCTTCTCCTTGCGTCAAAGCTCGCTATGCTCTTTTAGGAAACTCTGTCCTTATATATGCTAATAATTCTCAAGGTTGATGATTTTCCCACTGCATCTGGTCAGGTCTTTCTAGAACACAAATACCTCCTTTTTAGGCAGATTCCTCTTGTAACTAGCCTAGGGAAAGCTCTCTTTCTTTCACTGTCATCGAGTTAGAACTGTCCCATAGCGGACCTTCTGTTGGGTTTCTCAGGCTATAAACTGCATGGAAACAGGTTGCCTATCTTTCCTTCAAGGAGTCACTGGTGGATTCAGATCAGGTTAGCAGCATGACTCCCTTCAGACTGTGACATTAGAGCACCTCTCAAGGAATGCTGGGAACTTCTTTTTCTGCTATTTACATTATAGTTCTCTTAGACTTATGAGCACTGGTGACCTCCTGGTAAGAAGCTGCACTGCAATCCCCAAAGGCACACAGTTCGAGTTCACCAGATGCTTCATGGGAGAAGGATAGGCAATCTCCTCCTCTGAGATTAACTGCCTCTGAAAGCTCACTGGCAGGACAGCCATGGGTCAGTTCCAACTCAATGGTTCACAACCGCAACAACAGACTTATGACGGGTTCCATTTGGACGACTCTCTTACAGATTATGATGTAGTTGAACACATGTATTTTTTAATTTTATGTTTTGCTTGATTTTCATGATTACTGCTTTTAATTATTGGTATCTTTATAAATGCAAACTGTCTTTGGAGGTTGGCATGGAATAATGGAATAATAATATTAGCAAATTGAGAGCTGCACATTGTTTATAGAATACATAATAGTACTAAGTGTTGTTGTTGCTGTTAGGCGCAATCGAGTCGTAGACGACTCATAGCGACCCTATGAATGAAAGACCTGGACACTGTTCATAGAGTTTCTGGAGGCAAGCCGTTTCAGAAGTGGATGCCACTCCTGCTTCCATGCTATTTTTACTCGGGAAGCTCTACCAAAAAACCCAACCAAAAGACACTAGTAAATATGGCACACTACAAGGTAAATAGAATTTGAGGACTATCAACCAGTTCCACACATCTTTCCCTCTTCTCAGCTAGAACGCCCTCTTTAGCTCATTGCCAGGGCACAGCACAGTAGTTTAAAACACAGTCAGTTCTACCTATGATGAGCAGTTAGGTGAATGACTGAAAGATGAATGAATGAACTATGAATGCTGTGCTTTCCAGCTGTAAATACAGTAGAGTTAGGACATAACTCCTTCTACAGATACAGTTAGGGACATTGCCATAGCAACTCTAGTCTTAGACTTGGGAATAAATCTGGAAACTAGTAATTTTTTTTAATAATCTTTAAATTCACCTAGGAAGATTAGGGCAGAATTTCATTGATAAAAACAGTAACAACAACAATGATAATATCTGCCATTGTCAAGTAAATTCTAACTCATAGTAACCCTATTATACAGAGTAGAACTATTGCCAAGGGTTTCCTAAGGTTTTCCAAGTCTGTACAGTGAACACCCTCGATGAGGTGGATTGACTTAGTGACTGGGGCAATGGGGTGGGTGTTTCAGAGACTCTCAGGGTGGCTCTGGATAGAGCAGGGTTTATGACTATTGTACTTCACATCACTGTGAATCACAAGTGACTCGATGGCACATAACAACAACAACAACTTGTTATGGAAGAAGACTGACAGTCTTCCACACAGTTGCTCATAGGTTCCACCTGCCTTCTGGTTGTAGCTAAGAGCTTGACCACTGCACCACCAACCCTCTCAGGTGATGAGGGCTAAAGTTACTGAATGTGTATTACAGGTCAAGACAAAAACTGCTTGAACATTTAACACAAATGAGGAACGCTTTTGGTGTAATCTTTAAGTCTTACTAAAGGTAAGAGCAAAATAAAGAGAACCAAGTGTAACGATCAGACTCTGATCACAATCCAAGAATATGACAACAGTCTAAAACAGCATAAAGGTAAATTGAGATTATTTATTAATACAAAGGATTCAGAGGCAAAGTAAGACTATTCTTTACAAACAGATCTGGACTGGCCAGTCTCTAACTGACTTCATTTCCCTTGATACTATTCTAGAGTGACTACAGTTAAGATTACTCTAAGAAATGTTAAATCTATACGTGTGAAAATTAGCTTGGGATAGTGTTTCCAAAACAGTGTTCCAAAGATGTACTTTAAAATCTGGAAAATAAAAATAAGAGAAATAGGTGAAAAAATTTTGGGGAAGTTGTTTTATGTCTCTCTTGGAGATTTAACATGAATACTAACATAAGTGCTCTGTGTGGCTTAATCCAGAGCTCTTTAAAAAAACATATATTTGACTGATAAAAATTTTTAAAAAATGAAGAATGAATGCTCTTATATATTTACCTTAAATGACTAGTGTGAAATACCAGCTTGTCTATTTCCAGTTTATAAAAGCAGCCACTCTTGTGTTTGGGACTTTAGCAGTAGGTATGTGTAGAGGGGATTCCCATCAAGATCTGTCTGATGTAAGGAAAGCAAGACTGACCATGTCTGGGCCAAAAGAGTCTTCTTGCTTTGTATTCCTATTTGCAAGATAAAATTCAATCCTTTATGAGGGCTGAAGCAAAAATGCCTGCTCTCATTTTAAAATGTTTTGTTTTTAATGAAAATGAAACCGTAAATGCGTCCAAACTCTATTGAAAGGAAGGAGAAGAAAGCGAGTATTTTATGACCATCATTGAAAATGCCCACTTTTAATCAGACACTTGAATTAGCAGTTATGCTATTAGGACTGAACCGCACAACCACAAGAATTTATATTTTCATTTTATCCCAAAGAAAAACTTGACCATCTTTCTTTAATACTATCAACCCGGAAGCTTGACAGTAAGGATTAAAAATTGCTCCTTCCTTCCCACTTGGTTATTGGAAAGGCTCTGAAAGGTAATCAGTCTTGTGAAGCTCCACTTTACAGTCTGCATAAAAATGCCATGATTTCCCTTCCTCTCCCCAACTTAATTGAAAGTGCATAATATCACCCAGCTGGGGAAACGTAAATGGTAAACATATGCAATATATCATGCTATCACACAAAAGCTGGTTACTAATAGGGACTGGGTAGTTGTCAGGGGGAAAAATAATCTGGAAAACAAGCCTTTTCTTCTTCTAGAAAGGGAGCTTTTCCCCCTCTGCCACTCTTTCCACCTCCTCTCTTTAGACTTTCAAGCCACGGTCAGGTTGGATCAAGGTCAGTCAACCCATTGCATGAGAGTGTAATTCCAAGTTCACCTAACAATGTGTATTGACTAAAACTGTCTTAAGTCAGACTTTCAAGAGATGAGGCATTTTCTTTTTGGCAGGAGGTGGGGTTGGAATCATCGTGTTCCCTACCTCCTTCAATTGTACTGACAGATGGGCCTATTATCTCTTTCCTGAGCTGCTAAACCTAAGAATTGTTGGCCTTGTCACCTCTTACCTTTCTCTACTTCATCAAACTCCTATTTCCAAGACCTTCTCTTTTTCTACCTCTGATCATCCACGATCACATATTCCTTGAGTGTAAAATCCCCAGGTATTTTACTTCCAGCGTACTGCACTTCTGCAGCCATCTATAATTCCACCTCAATTACATCTACTTGGAAGTCATCATTTTCTCTTGTCTGACTTCTCACCTCTAAGTGTCATGCCATTTTCTTGGATAAAGTCTTTCACAGTGAGGCTCTTAGGAGAAAGGACACGATTACTTCAAAAAGTTCTCATCTTAACTCTCTGTCACAATATCCCTTCAAAAATTGCTCCCTCTTGCACCATGAACTCAACCACCACTATTCATTTGTGCCACCTTATAATTGACTATTGCTTTATTTTTTTGGTAGCTGATACGTTACTGGGAGGTCAAAGCACAGCATTTGTCTAAGGCACTCTGTCATTTCAGTTTTAATAGATTGAAGGATGCACTTTTATCTGCCTCAGCTGTAGCGATGATTTGGAACGTACTGAATGAAAACAACATTCATCTTTCACTAAGCTGCATTACCTGTCAGCTGGAGCCGGCGGATGGTAGGGCTTGTTGACCTTGGCATAGAGGCCCTCTAAGTGGTCCTTTTCTGGAGATAGTGGACGGCCATCTCGAGGGTAGCCAAGTGGCCCAGGGCGAGGTGGAGATGGAGACCTATAGACATTTGCTGATGGACATGGCTCCCGAAAATGGTTCACTCTGGCATAATTTGGGTCTATTTCATCATCATCCATATCATGGACTGATCCAACCGCACCGGTAGTATAATCAAGAAGACCTCTTGCTTGCTTTTCCCGTAGCTCCTGATGTTTTGCTCCAATCCTGAAAATGTAAAACAGACAGCAGAGTTGT